GACGTTAATCCAGGCCGTTTTCCCTGTGCTACCACTGTGCCACTGCCTGGTCTCTGTTATAACTATTGATATTAAATGACAGAAAACTTTACTTGTCCAGATACCGTCTATGGAGTATAGTCAATTATAATTAATTTACCCTCTTCTAATAATATCACTTAGTCTAATATAGATCTTTTTTCCTTTTTTGGTAGCCACATCTTACTGTTGACTTACGTTAATATTATGATAAACAAAGACACAAAGGAAGCCTCCCAGTTCTTTTTTACACCATCTGTTGTTAAACCTATGTGTCCTGTTCTGCATTTGTTCCTCTGAATTTTTTTACCTAAACACGTGGCTTCGCATTGATGCTGACATTCTGTTTTGTTGTTTGTGGACACGTTGATTTTATTTGCCAACTCTTTTGAATAAATTGGCTGGATGGGGACTATGATGGATGAAGAATTTGCTCATTTGATGATCCACCTTATCACTCATTGAAAGAGCCTAGTCTGGAGACCTGTGGCATACTAATAGAGTAAAGATCCCCTGTTTTAGTCCATTCTCTGTTGCTGATAACAGAATATCCTGTATCTTGGTAAGTTATAGTGAATGGAGGTTTACGTCACTCATAGTTTTGGAGGTCCAAGGTTCTGGTTGGTGAAGACCCTCTGCAGGATCTGGAGGTGAGCCAGAGCAAGAGAAGAGCATGTGTGTCCATGTTTCTGCTCTTCTTATAAACCACTGGACTTTGATCATGGAGGCCCTACTTTGATGACCTCATCCAATCTCCTTCACTTCCCAAAGGCCCCACGTTTCGACATCATAATCAGCTGGCATTAGCTGACTAATCAGCCTGTATTTCTTTCTTTCTTTTCTTTTCTTTTTTTTTTTGGAGAGATTTTTGCTATAGGGCGCGTGCGCTCACCAGACAGACAGAGAGAGACAGAGAGACAGAAAGCGAGAAATCACCCCCCAGGGGGAATGGTCACGCCGCAATCCCTTCTCCTCCATTCTCCTCTCAGGATCTTGGGCACATATGCACATGCACCCGGCATGAGTTTTAAGCCACTGGGTCCGGGATGCGAACCGTGGTCGACTACGTGGGAGTCCAGCGACGTAGCCATCACGCTAACTGCTGGTTCCCGAGCCTGTATTCTTTATCTATTTTGCCAGCTATGGATGTTTCTAATTTTTCTTAACTCACATGGCTTTAAATTCTCCACCTGGATGCCATGAAAGTTCTTCTCGAGTACTTTGTTAAATTACAGCTTACATCTGATCTAATAATACATTATTACAACTATCAAAAAAGAAAATGAAAGGTCTTGTCACTTCTATATCATTAGTTGTCTCTTGGTTGGGCATAAGTCCCAAGGGGCAGGTTTCTTTCCAACTTGTGATCAATACTATTGCTAGTGGAAAAGAGTTCCTGTTATTCCACATTTTTGCCCACAGTTGATATTAGTAGAAGTGACTTTTGTTAATTTTTGAGGGTAAAATGGCATCTGTTATAATTAGAGCTTCCTACTCATCAGTTTGGTAGAGTATGATTTTATATTTTTTGATAATGTAGGTTTTCTTTTCCATCACTTCACTGTCTGTACTCTTTGCTCAGTTTTCTAAACATTCATTTTAGAAACTTTAATAGTATATCTTAAGATACTTCTTAGGACCGGCAGGTGGCATTGTGGTTAAGGGTGCTGGACTCCCACATGGCCAACTACAGCTTAAGTTCTGGACCTGGCAGCTTGCTTTCTTACTTTCCCTCTATCTCTCTCTCGCTCTGTTCCTCTCTTGTCAAATTAAAATAAATAAATAAATAAATTTAAATAAAATAATTCTTAAAAAATATTTTTAAAAGATACTTTCTTACATGTACCAATGTAGAGTGTTTAGATTTCATTTTTAACAATTACAGAATAATCCACTTTATGAATATGGGTTTTTTCCCCCCAGTTTTTATTTTCCACTAGAAACATTGTTCTACTTGATATAATTTAGCTAGTATATCCATAGACAGATTTCATTCTAGGAGAGAAATTACAGACCGAAAAGTATGTGCATTTTATATTTCAGTAGATAATGTTAAGCAGCCTTCCACGGGCCAGGAGGTGGTATGGAAGTTAAGGCACTAGATCCCACATGACTGGCTGCATGATTAGAGACCTGTTCCTGGTGGCCTGAATATCATGCTGGAACGTATGTGTATGCGTGCCCAAAATCCTGAGAGGAGAATGGAGGAGAAGGGATTGCAGTGTGACCCTCTTCCATGGTGGTTGATTTCTCACTTTCCCTCTCTCTGTCTCTCTCTGGTGAGCATAGACAACCTATAGCAGAAACCTAAAAATAAATAAAGCAGCTTTTCAAAAATATTGTACCAATGTACACTCTTCCCCCAACAAGTTTCATCTATTGTGATTATGTGTCAAAAAAAGTTACTGTGCTCTTTGAATGACTGGGCCATTGGTACAACATACCCCTTGGATCATCACTTTTTTTTTTCTTTTTAACTGAGAGATTCTTGCTATAGGGTGTGTGTGCTTGCTGGAGAGATTGAGAGAGACAGAAAGCAAGAAATCACCCCACCCCCCCAGTGGGATAACCACACTGCAATCTCTTCTCCTCCTCGGTCTTTGGACATACATGCACATGTGCTCAACATGAATTTTAAGCCTCCAGGTCTAAAACTTGAACTGTCATTGGCCATGTGGGAATCCAGGAACTTAACCACTATACCATCCTCTGGCTCTTCATCATCATTTTTGTCTCTCCCCTTTTTCATGAGAATGCTCCTTAGTAAGATCACCTCTCATGCCTGGCTTGCCACACAGCTCTGCAAGAGACTGTATTTTCATTTAGCAAATATTCACTCTCCATTCCTCCCCACCTTGTGTCATTCCCTGTCTCCTATTCATGAGAAGAGTATGTTCCCTTACCAATCTGATGTTGGGTTCACCATGTGACTTCCCATAGACATTGGAATGTTAGTGACTAGACATGAGCATGGGTTTAAATGTGGTTGTGTGGCTTAGCCTCTAATGCCTCTGACATTATCCATGAGAAGAGCATACCCCAGGGGGTTCTGGTTTCAGAATGAGAGACACAAGAAGCTGAATGCAGCCAATTAGTAGTCATGTCAACCAATCCACATATCCACAAACAAACAAAAAAATGCTTATTTTTTTCTTGTATAACACTGAGATTTGGGGTTTAGTTTGTTACACAGCATGATTGCAACAATTGCTGACTAATATAAGCTCTGAATTAATTTTTTTAATTTAGGTTTTTTTTTTGCTATAGGTGTGTGCACTCACTGGAGAGAGACAGAGAGAGAGGAAAAGTGAAAAATCACACTCCATGGGGGATGGCCATGCCATAGTCACCTCTCCTCTATTCTCTTGGGATTTGGGGCATGTATGCCCATGTGCCCAGAATAATTCTCCAGTCACCAGGTCCGAGATTCAAACTGTGCAGTCAGCCATATGGGATCCAGCGGCCTTAATTGTCATGCCACCTGCTGGCCCATTAACTACTATATTTTTAAAATGCTATAGACATGAAAGCACATGCATATATACACTTTAACAGAAGTGCATAATGTATTTACGACGTTATACTTTTTTGCATGCTAGCCTTGCTTTTTGTCTTTTCCTTATTGGCTTGGTTACTTTTCTCTCTCACCCACAGAAGTGGTAGGAGATTATTTTCCTCCCCAATAAGTCATGCTAACAACTGAGTATGTACCCATCTATATTTCTCTCCTTATTTCTTATGCACTCATACACAACAATGTGGACGCATATGTGCAGGACCGCCATGCAGAATCTTTAGCAGCCAGTGTGGCACAGGACCAACCAATCAGAAAGAACACTAGCTGAAACATCATTATGGCTTCATTAGCATATATTGGCAATGTCAACTCTACACACACACACACACACACACACATTTTTGTCATTGTTTATGGTTTTACAAAAATGGGACAATATTCTGAACACTTTTTGCCTTATTTATTTATTTTTTTTTTACAGAAAAATACTTCATCCCTTAAGTCCCTGTCATTATTTTTCTTTTAATTGCCAGAGGACATGCACACTCACCAGAGATAGACAGAGGGAGGGAGAAAGCACCCCCCAGTGGGATGTGGCTACACCACAATCCCATCTCTTGTATATCTCCATCTTGTTAGTCCAACCATGTGGTCGGCCTTGTGGGCTCTGACTCCCTTAACTACTAGGCTATAGGGCAGTTCCAAGTTCCATCCATTCTTACGCGTTCTTATTAATTGCTGTATAAAGCCACATTGAATGGACTGGCTGGGTGTATCAGCATTTATTCAACAGTCCTCTAATTAATGGACTTCCCTTTGTACCTGTGTGTTTGTAACTGTGAGCAATGCTGTGATTACCATTCTTACATAGGCCAAAGCACACTAGTGCTTTTATCTCTAGGGCGCCAAGTCCCAGGAATTGGAACAGGTGAGTTGAATGATGAGTGTTACATTTTGTTAGACGGTATCCGAGAGCTTTTCAAAGTTTTGTGACTATAAAGAAATCATTTTTTTTTTTTTGAGGTTTTTGCTATAGGGCGGTGGTGCTTGCCAGAGAGACAGAGACAGAAAGACAGAAAGTGAGAAATCACCCCCCAGGGGGGATGGCCATGCCACAATCCCTTCTCCTCCATTCTCCTTTCGGGATCTTGGGCACACACACACACCGCCCGGCGTGAGTTTTAAGCCACCGGGTCCGGGACTTGAACGAGGATCGACTACATGGGAGTCCAGCAACACAGCCATTACGCTAACTGCTGGTCCCTATAAATAAATCTTTTCATCTATATCTCATCCAACAATAAATTGCTTCTTGATTTTTGCCAACCTACTAGTTATAAAGTAATAGCCTACATTTCCCTAACTACTGGTGAGCTTATCTTTGCTCATAATTTCTATTGTGTTGTTAGTATCTTTGTCAATGTGTAAAACCTTGTTTGTTTGTTGTTGTTGTTGTTTTTCACAGATGCAATGGTTTATCTCCCTTCAAATGCATGTGCTGAGATTTGGTTGTGAAGGTATTAACAGGAAACTTCATACCTCCATGGTGTTGACAGATGGGGCTTCTGTGATTAATGACATGATTGACTCCTGGTGGGTTTATAAGGAGAATAATGACATGATTGACTCCTGGTGGTTTATAAGGAGAAGGAATGAGCCCAGAAGAGACAACTACATGGAATGTAGGGGTGTATGTTCCTCTTCTCCCATGGTGTGCTGCCCTGCGTGGCTTTGGGACCCCACCAACAAGAAAACCCTTTCCAGATGTGGCCCCTGGACCTCCAAACCGTGAGCTGAACACACTTCTATTCTCTTGAACTACTCACACTCAGGTATTTTCTTTTTCTTTTCTTTTCTTTCTTTCTTTTTTTTTTTTTTTTTGAGAGGTTTTTGCTATAGGGCGCGTGCGCTCGCCAGACGGACAGAGAGAGACAGAGAGACAGAAAGTGAGAAATCACTCCCCAGGGGGGATGGCCACGCTGCAATCCCTTCTCCTCCATTCTCCTCTCGGGATCTTGGGCACGCATGCACACGCGCCCGGCATGAGTTTAAGCCACCAGGTCCGGGACTCGAACCGCGGTCGACTCGTGGGAGTCCAGTGACATAGCCATTATGCTAACTGCTGGTCCCACACTCAGGTATTTTCTGTAAATAGCAACAGAATTGTCAGGGCTCAGAGTAAGACACAGAAGGCACCATTTCAAGAGAAAAAGTTTATTAAGAGAAAGTGCCTGGGAGTCTGAAGCTGAAAGTGCTTCAGCCCACCCTGTCGAGGAGACGTGATGTAGTTATATTCGAGGGGTGGAGGGGTGGGGTCACAGGAATGGCGGGTACTTTGATTAGCTTACTTGTCACTGGGACCTTATTAGCCCATTTATGGGTATTGGCTGCCAGTAAGGGAGGACTCTGGCCAAGGATTCTGGCCAAAGTTCCCCGCAGCCATCTCCTTATTTTCTAACAGGAAATTAACTGAAGGCCATTCAGGGGCTGATCTAACAGGAAGAGATTAGAACGGTAGATATTAAGCCTACATTGAAAAAAGTATTTTTAAAGTCTAATGCCTGGTTGTTGATCTGGCTTAGCTTGTCACTTGCTGTATCAAAATGTGGCCATGATTTTGAGAAAGCATGTTATCTCTTTCTTCAAGTCTCTATCTCTTCCTTCCCTTTCTCTGTGTCTCTTTGTGGGTGTTTCTGTTTCCCCTCTCTGTCTTCCTTGGGGTCTCTTTATTCCATCTCGGGCTCTATTTCTTCTCTCTCCTATCCCTTATCCCTCCTCTTCTCTAGCTCTGCGGGAATACTAATTTCCCACACAGGTGCAATTGTTATTTTTTTCTGTTTGTGTCACCTTCAAAGCTAAGATAGATACAAGTATCAAATAAGGGTAGCACTATTAAGAGTTAAAGCAGTGTGTTTCTAAAACTTGGTTGAACTCCTGAATCTTTTTGTATGGATTCTCAAGATGGGTCCTCAGAGATTCTGGTTTTATAGGTCTGGAGTGGGGTATAAATGGGGAATTATTTTACAGTCTTTCCAAGTGATTCCAGTACCCAATCGAGGCTGGCAATCTGTGAGTTAATACTGGTTCCGGGCAGCTGGATAGATGCTCGCCAGTGGGGGTAGCCTGCTTGCGGATTAGTCAAGCCAGGCCATTGCAGTCTCACATAATTGCCTTTACCAACCACCCTGCGTGAGGGGAGTGGCTAGAAACAATGGCCTGGCACCTGCTCTACCAGACTTGTACATATCTCAAATGGCAACTCAGCTAACGTGTGGCTGCAGCGCAGCAAATGAACACAAGGGGGAAGTAGAGTCCCACGGGGGTTCAGAAAACCTCTGATTTTAAATGAAGCCTTACCAGGCTCTGAAGAAGCAGAGAGGGTAAAGGACCCTTCTACCACCTTCTTCTGCTGTCACTTAGTCCCTGTCCTACGCAATCAGGCTCTCAGATGATTAAAGTTCATCCAACATTTATTAAGCATGAATTATCTCATGTCAAACACTGTCGTAGGCTATTTCATTTCATCTTCATAGCAATCTGAGGTAGGCTTATTTCCATTCTACTACAAAAGAAGCTGCAATTTAGGGAAGCTGATTTCCTAGTGGTGGCAGAGTCAGGATTGAGACTCCAGCCTGTCTGATTCAAAGCCAGGTGGTCTTTGCATTCAACAACTGCTACTTTATACAGGTAACATTTTGTTTTTTTCTGAACATATTCTTTTTTTTTTAATTTCAATTTATTTATTTGCATTCATTCACTGTACATCATTACAGCATACAAAATGACATTTTCCATCCAGAGTACACTGTATATTATCTCAATCAAGCACATCAACGTACATGTTATTGTCAGCAAATGATCTTCCATTTCTAGTTTTCTGTATGTTTTGCTTCCCCCCCCCATCCTTGATTCCCTATCTCTTACCCTCTGCCATCTCCCACTCTCCTCCCACACTGAATCTGGTATCTATGTTTGCTTTCTATACCGTTTCCCCCCCACATTTTATTGAATCACCAAAGACCCTAATCAATCCAAATACCCTCATAGCAAACACAGGTGACACACACCTTTCCATGAACACAAGTCTAACTTTACGCATCCTATAAAGTAGCACCTAGCTGGGGCTACATATCCTACTGCAGTCATTGAATAGATATTTTTTTTCCTGAAACTTTTTTTTTTGTAACTCAATTTACATTCCTTCCCTAAGCATCATCACAGTACACAAAATACAATCTCCCATCCAGTACACACTGCATAGTGACTCAATCATGCACATTAAAAAAAAATTTCCAATTCTAGTTCCTAGTATTATTTCCACCCCTCTTTCTGACCCTCTGTCCCTTCCCACCCTCCTCTCACACCACCTCCTGTGTCCAAAATTGCACTGGACAAGGCTCTTGACAAAACCACTTTCCCGTATGGTAGGTGGGTTAAAGAGGATGATGATTCTAGTGTATCATTAATCCATCCAATGGTAAATGTAAGGGGTTTTTGCAGGAGAAAAGAAGATATTTAAAAATGCAATCTAGTTAAAAATGAATTGTGAGGGAACCAGCAGTTAGCGTAATGGCTATGTCACTGGACACCCATGTAGTCGGCTGTGGTTCGTGTCCCGGACCCGGTGGCTTAAAACTCATGCCGGGCGCATGTGCGTGCGTGCCCAAGATCCTGAGAGGAGAATGGAGGAGAAGGGATTGCGGCGTGACCATCCTCCCTGGAGGGTGATTTCTCGCTTTCTGTCTCTA